CCAATATCTGAAATTACCACATTGAATTTTTCTTCTATACGAAAAAATATAGGAAAAAACTCTATATCTGCAATTAGCTGATGGATAACATTCTCATCATAGAAGCCCAGAACATCTAAACCATAGTATTCAGTTTTTGTATTATTAAAAACCATATTGTAACATTCTTTAATTGCTTTTGATGGACTTGATTCAGTATTAGATTTAATTTGATCACAAAAACATTGAAAACCCAGCTTTAATGAATTTTGTTCATGCGTCTTAATAACGATCATAAAGTTTCTATTGTTAAATTTATACTCAATAATGAAGTATAAATGATAAGGTATTACAAAATTCTTAGTTTCAGTTTCTAATTCTAAGTTGACTGTTTCCCACCAGGTTCTAGACCAAATTCTATAATGCAGATTAGGGTCTATGATACCCTTGTTTAAAATAGTTGTAGTGGACTTTTGCTTTTTTGGCATTTTTTTTTTTTTTACAAATTATTTAAATTGGTATATTTTTTTCAAATTTATTAGATGAAAAGTGATAAGAAGAAATTCGATACTTTGAATTTACCAATGCTTTTGTAGTGGTATTTATATGTTTGCAGAAAAGATGTTTTCTTTTTTTAGCTATTTTTATTATCATGACCGAATTGCGAAGTAATTTTATTTGGCCGATGTCGATTAGGTTGATACAATCAGCCTAGGTGGATCTAAAAGTTTGGGTTGATCATTACCGCAGCATTTTGTTATTTTTTATTCAAAATATAAACACTGCCTAAACTTTGCCGCAGTAGAATATTATTATACCTACTATGAGAATCGGGAAATGATAATATTTTAGTATATTTTGAATGAAAAAATAACAAGCGATGATTGACCCGAACTTTGAGGAATCTGCTGGCTAATTCAGGTAGATGATCACCAAAAAGCTTCGGCTGACTATTTACGGGTTGAGGGCAAAACTCACTGAGGTTGCATTTGTTATGCTTATTATTAAAATAGATTAGTAATTCTCTGGATAGATCACTAATTATATTTATACAAATTGGTAAGTATATTTGGTTTGGCCGAGATAATGTACTTGTGATTCTAATTCTCTATTCCATTAATGTATTATGTTATTATAGTACTACTAAATTTTTTTTTTAATTTTTAATTTTATCATATTCTATTCTTATTTACTATTTTTTTGAGTCTTGGCTGCAATCTATTTTTTTTTTACAAACAAAGATACTACTCTCACGAATCTTATCATGAGATAATAGTATTATTGGTACTTGTAGTAACTAACTTCAAGAACTTAAATTAAACAGTATTCCGGTACTGTGTGAAGAACTAGATATTATATATGAAGTCAACAAATACAATTATATCTCTGGCCTTCAAAAATGGACTAATATGGTATAAATAGTAATTACAAGGATACGAAAAAGTATAGGTAAGACTGGTCAAGAGATTGAAAAACTGCCGGCTGCTCAAAGCAGGCTGGCTGTTAAATAGGAAAATGGCAGAATTAGAAGACTGTTCTGACCACAAGTGTGGTGGGAGAGGTTGGGTCGAGAAAAATTTTGTCACCAGAGACTATTTTGTTGAAGGGGAAAAAGAGTGTCAAAAGCGATTCTTCATTGTCAATTCCTTATATATTGATTGATTCTGATCGGTGGCTTTTCTCTTTCATATAATTCCGCTTAATTGATTGATTCTTGATCCTGACCTATGCCCCATGCCTCCTAACTCTTAATTGATTGGGGTTGTAGTTGTAGCACGTGGTGTGTAACCGTGACCAGATCTTTCTCTTTCTTTTTGATTTGTTGACTCTTGTCAACCTGCACTATAAACAGTAGTTAAAATTTTTTAAATAAGTGTTATTTTCATTTTTATTTTATTTATATTTGAAAAAACTTAAATTTTATCGATCAAATCGGCTTTCATTTTTCGATTTTCTTTTAAAAATAAATTCTAGGCATGATAATTTTTGGTTTGCATTTATAGATTGATTTTGTGCAATGTATCGCTTACTCTTTGGTACTAAAGTCATTCTTATTTAAGCGCTTCAAGAATCTTAAGATATATTATACACACTCGTCTCTAAACACTATGATGATTTTGAAATTAATTATTATTACTATTTGTTGAAACAATAATTTTGGTTTACTTATCTTAAAGTTTATATATATGTATATAAATTTATACACATATATTTTTAGAGTTTAACCCTAAATATGTCCATAAGAGTTTTTTGCCTATGTGCGATGACCGATAATACAAGAACTGCATTGTTCACACTAGATGTAAGAATAATGAGATATGTAAAATATGCTTAAATCCTAGTTTTATTGTGGTAGTTAAAATGAATAACGATATTATTTACTGTATATAGAAATCCTTAAATTATGAAACTATTAAGAACCAAAAAATGATGTAAAAAAACTTTATTAAATTTTCTAATTTTGTAACAGTAATAAACTGATTTTACAATTAATTCTAGAAAAGTTCATTTCAATTATTATTGAGTATTGTAGTTTGCACTGATTCGATTCTGTGATTAATCAACTAGCAAATTTTTAAATCTTTCATAGTATAAATAATGCTTAATAATTACTAGTATCAAATTTTATTTTATTTCAATAAATCAATACTGAACTTTTACATTTTGTTAATTAAAAACATGTAATTTGTAAAATATGATATGTAGTTCTGAAATCAAAATTTTCAGTAATTGAGGAGTTACAAGTCAAATCATATATATGTTAAAAAAAAATTTTAATATGGAAGAAATTATTAAAAAAAAATAAAAATAAAAATAAAACGCCTTATAGCACCCCAAGAATATATCTGCAGGTACAATAAAAAAAAAAATCAAAATATAGAAATGTTATACAGTATATCTAAGTTTTTAACTAACACTATTTTCTACAAAAAAAAGTGCCTGAAAGAGACATTTTCAACAAATTTTCGAATACCTTTTTTTTATATTATTTTTCATGCTCGTTGTAAGTGGACACAGAATTTTAAATCTGCAAGTATTCTTTATCCCTGTTCATCATGTGATAAGATTTTCTACAAAATCTTAATGTCCATGCATTATTTGGTTTATTTTCCAATTATTTATTGTAGCAGCTTATACTAAAATTTGGGGTCTCTATTTAAATCTACAATATCTACTAAAATCTACATATATTTTTTTTATTAATTATACTTAAATCCAAACCTTTTAACTAATGTGCCTAGAGAATGCAAACCAGCCAGAAGTCATATATATTGAAAAACTATAACAATATTAAATTCAACCCTTACTCTAATGTGTCTAGTAAATGATAATATTTTTTTCATAACACTAACAAAGGCCAAAGTTCTTCATTCTTGTTCACTTCGAACCATTTCTATTTAGGAAGAATTTTGTTAAAATAGAGAATTAAAACTTGCCTAAGACTAATGAAATTGAAAGGTGAATTCAAAAATAAATCTTGAGCCTCAACCTGCAAAATCAAATATTCTATTAACAAATGCTCTAAATCTATCTTTTTTTTAACATAATTATTCTGAAATTCTGTTCTCACTTACATGTCTAAGTCATTTCAGAATCCAAGACAACATTATGTTTAAATGGCTACTTCAGCAGACTTTAAATTTTGTTTTCTATCCTTAACAATATAAAAGTAAAAAATGATAAGGACAATATTATAGGATTCGAACTGAGAGTGCAAATAAGAAGTCAAATCATAATAGCAGACCTTTGACTCGAATTCAATAGAACCCCGAGGTTAAATAGATAACAAGGCATTCTAAATAAAAAAAGTATTAAACTGTATATTACCATAGTACATTGACTAAAAGATCCAAATCTAATATAAATTACTTGACATAAACTTTCAAATGATTCAGTTGCATAGGATACATACAATAATGGGTCATGTCGCGATAAAGAAAATCTCAAACACATATATGTTTCATTTGATCTATAAATTTGAAAACTTGTATTTAGTTAACAGAGATTCATGTTTTATACAAGTACATTTACACAGGAAAACTAATACATATAACTGAAGATCAAACTTAATATACTTCTAACACGTCACGAGATTAGCATATGCAAAAGAAAGGCGAATAATTTATTAAGCCTTGTCAAAGGCAAAAATTCTAAACGATGAACCATCTGTTAAGTTTTATAAAGCATTAAAACTTTACTGAAAGCAAATACTAATAGTATATATTGAAAATCTGTACATTTATAAAATAGATTTTCAATTAATAAATTTGCGCTATATTTACTTAATGTATGTCGATCATTTCATCTAGGTGATATATAGATTATCAATTAATCGAAAAGATATAAAAAAATTAATAATTAAGGAATTTTTTTCATCAAAAATATCTTTTATAAATTTATATATATATATATTATCACATATTTTAATCAATATTGTAACAATTTTTTTTATAATATATATTCTCTACAATATAAATCCAAATATATGTATAAAGTGTGTTGCGATATAATGTCATCGTTAGAAACAGATGATTTGCAAATTTGGTATGGTCATTTGATGAAAAAAGTAGAAAAAATATCAATAAAAAAAGATTTTTTATATTAACAAGTGCAAGAATTAGAAGAAAATTGAGAAAAAGAATTAAGCAAAACAATGTTTCACCAAATATTTTCACGTTAATAATATCATATTTTTTGTTCTTATCAGTTTATTATTATTTTTATTGTATTTTTTTATTCAAATTCAATATGTGTTAAATGTATTATTATCTAATAAACTATAAATATCTCTTCTTTTATTAAATAAAAAATAAAAATGAAAGCGTTAAAAAAATTAATTATCTTTTTCATTATTTTTTTTTTCTGTTTTACAACTTTACATGTTGATTGTAAAACTATACGATCATGTAGTTGTCATAAAAGAAAAAAAGAATTTTAAATTATCTTTAAAAAAATTAAATTATATTGATAATGTAACAACTATATAAATAACCAAATAAAGTTATATCATTATAATTAAAATGTCTTTAATTTTTTCAAATCTTCAAATTTCTATTAATTCTTTTAGCTTATCTTATCATTCTAGTACACAATCAATCGAAGTAGGTATTATATTAGAACAAATAAATCATAATTTTCAAAATTTTATTGTATGGTCTCCTAAAGGCGGTCTTGAAATATCAGATTTTTTTTTACGTGAATTAAATAATTCTTTTGGATCTGTAAAAAATTTTAGCAAGAATAATCAAAGAGTATTTTCAAATCTTAAAATTATTATTTTTTCTGTAAGAACAATACCTACAATAACAAATATACTTTGAGAGTTAGTGATAATTAGATCTTTGACTATTGTTAATAATATTAATCCAATTTGGATAATCACAAATGATTTAGAATTATTAAAAATTAGTAATTTAGAAGCAAACTAAACTCTTTCCGACGATCACTTAAACCAAAATTTCCCACAGAAGAAAAACACAAATTTTTGCTGGAGAGTTGTGGCCTATATAGTGGTTTGTCTAGAGGTCAACTGCTTTTCTAAGGGACTCTTCTATAAGTAACATTTGGCATGCAAGCCAAGAGCGTTATTATACAAGATAACTAGCAGGAGGTGCCCTTATATAAAAAATCTTGGTGGAGAAGAGGACTCTGCGGACTAACCTTCTTTCTCTATTGACGAAGCTATTAGGCTGTACTTCTTTAAAAACACTGGAGAACAACAAAATAATATGTTATTTCTTCAAACCGCACTCTTTTTACTTGGTCAAGTGGCTCCTTTTTACTTTTTATCGCTTTCCTGTTGGTTTTCCAAAAATTTTTGAAAAAATGTGGGGATTTGGCTTACCCCTTCTAAAAGATCAGCATTGTTTACATTAACCAAATTCGGATGGACTCAGTGGAATGCAATCACATGTTTGTTGTGTTGACTAATATGGTGCTATAGTATGGGAAAGAGATCGATACTCCCATTTAGAAGATTCCTAAGTCGAGTTAGTGTACGGAATGAGTTAATCTGATAGAGTCAAAGGCTTTATAATTGAGATATACTTTTAGTTGCAATTAGTATATAATTTTTTTCCTTATGTCTGGCATGGGCTATAATAGTGTATCATGACTATTTTTCTTTTTTTTCACTTTTTTCATCTTTGTTCATTTATGTTAGATTATTTTAGAATATGTTGAAAGTTTTTTTTCCTACCATGAGGTGTTTTTTTTCTAAAATGTTTAAATCTTTCATAAACATGGCTTTACATTTTTACTTTTATGTATGAATAAGGATTTTATTTGTGTTGTCGGGCTTAGATAGAAGAAGTTTAAAAGAAGAGAAGGTAGTCATGACAGGTGGCAAGGTCCACTGTTGAAAGCTGGGTCATATCCAATTGCAGGAGGGGTCCGGAAGGAGGGAAATCTTGCTATAGCAGGTCAAACATAGATACCAAGTTGGTAACCGGGTTAGTTGTAACTTGTAATTTAGGTAGCGCTAGATGGATGTAGGTAAGGCACTTGTCATTTAGAGATAGTTCTCATACGCTATCTGCTAGCTTGTTTAGAGTTTATCACTTACCTGTTATAAATCCTATATGTAAATCCTAGTTGCAAAATTTTATATATTCTAGATGAGTTGTACAAAGCCTAATAAAGTTATAGCATGACTGCTGAATAATTTTTAAAAAAAAAAAGTAATTTAGAAGCAAGTACTTTTAGTGCTTTTTTAAGAGTTTTAAATAATAATATAAAAACACTCCAGAAACTGGAGCAGATAGTATAGTTGGACAAAATAATTGGAATCAATTAGCACAAGCAATCACTAAAAACGCTAGACCTGTTATGGATAGATTAATATTTATCACAGAAATTCAATGATTATTATTATTATTGTCAAATTAACAAGAAGAAAATGAACAACATAATGAAATTAAAAAAATAACTAAAACAATATTCAAAAATATCGCTCAAAATAATGTTTTACCAATACAAGATAATGTTTTAACTAATTTAACAGTTTTTTTTCAACATATATTTGGAAAAATAATTCCCGAGATTTTTAAGATTATAAAAAATATTAGACTTGAAAAGAAATAATATTTCCAAGTATTATTTCACAACTATAATGTATTACTTAATTTACTATTGATATTAATAATACCAAATAATATATTTATTAATAAATTAAATAAAATTAATTACAATCACATTTATTAAGAGTTTTAAGATAACTTGTTTTCAAATTATAAACTAAACTATAAATAATAATTTTTTTATCATTATTTTGAATAATGCTCATATTAGATATAGTAGTAACTTGTTTTTTAATATTGAGTTCTACCAATATTTTTTTTTGTTCTTCAATTGATTTATTTGTAAAAAGTGATTAATTGGATAAATAAGTGTCTTTAATATCGGATAACCATTTATCGAGATTATTATTTTGAGTATCATTTGCTATATCTATAATATGACCAACTCTGCCACAATCATAATGTCCTATAAAAATATATATTAATATTCATTTGTTATATTAAATAATTTAGATTCACATGGGGGTAAGTCAATAGAAAAGGGACAAATTTTTTCTAAGTAAAAGTTTTCTTGACTTTAGGCTTAAATATCTTGGCAATTATCTTATCAAATTTAATAAATTTTTTTTTATTTTAATTCTATATAATTTTAAGATTAAAATAAAAAATTTTTTAGCAAATTTGATTAGTTAGTTGTTGAGATATTTTAATTTAAAAATTAAAAAAATTTCACTAAAAACGATTTGTCCCTTTTCTATTGACTCCTCCCCACATACTATAAACAATTATATATTGAATATTTAAACTTTTAATAGTGTATTCTAATAATGACATTGTGCTTAAATCATTAATTTTAAATTAATTGGCAATGTTTCGAAGGACAAAAAGTTTACCAAGACCTGATTAAGTAATTATTTCAGGAGGATTTTTACTATTAGAACAACCAATCCAGATACATGATAGTTTTTGTGTGATTGAATTGTTATTAAAATAATTTGGATAGTATAAATTTATATGTTTAGCCTATTTTTTATTATTTTCAATTAATTTATCAACTAGATTACTCATATTGTCTAATATATCTTTTTTATAAATATATTTAAAGAAATAAGTATTCTATTTATTACTTTTTAATAATAATAAAATGATTAATAATTTAACTGTCGATTATTTTAAAAACGAAAATAAAAATTTAAAAATATATCTCAAAGAAACAAATAAGACAATTGAACTTCTTCAAGAAAAAAATAAAATTTATGAAGGAATAATTGATACTCTTGAAAAAAACAATAAAATATATAAAAAAAGAAACAATAATCTTCAAGAAAGAATATATTATTTTTCAATTACTATTTTTAGTATTCTTTTTTGTTATTTATTATATGATAATAAATTTAAAATAGCATTTTTAACTTTAATAATTAATAGGCAATCTGCCAGTCACCTGGATAAAAAATTTTTTTTTATATATAAATTTTACTATAAGTGCAAATGCACAGTGCTTCTATCTAAAACTTTTTTTATATTAAGTAAATCACTCTTCGGCTTCTAACAAAAGTTGTAAAGCTCATAAAAATATATTTAATACTAAAAGGATATTAAAATTGGTCTAGTGGTTCTTGAGAAATCTTTAAAAAACTTCTTCTTTATATATATAATTTCTTTAAAAAAAATCGATTTTTTTTAAAGAAATTTTATATGTGAAGAAGTTTTTTAAAAATTTCTCAAGAACCACCAGACCAATTTTAATATCCTTTTAGTATTAAATACATTTTTATGAGCTTTACAACTTTTGTTAGAAGCCGAAGAGTAATTTACTTAGTATAAAAAAAGTTTTAGATAGAAGCACTGTGCATTCACACTTATAGTAAAATTTTTATATAAAAAAAAAATTTTTTATCCAGGTGACTGGTGGATTGCCTATTAATTATTTTTAATTTAAATAATATTATTTAAGATTATTTAAAAACAAATTCTATAAATTGTTTTTATGTTTTTCTCTAAAAATGAATTCCTTTAATAATGGTTCAATAATATTTCTTTGTCTTTTTGGTTTTAGAATAAAAATTTTAAGCAAATTCCAAGTTTCTTCAATTGTATTTGTGTGAATACGTCTAATTCTTTGTTGTTGATTTGGTCTTGAATGATTTGTTAGTATATGTTTCATTCCAAGACTTTCTAAATTTTGATAACCATGCCAACCGTCAGTATATATTGTTAATCCTAGTTTAATATGTTGTTTTATAACTCTTGTAATTGTTTCAACATCACGTTTTTCAACAACGACAAAGAAAAATTTTTTTCTCTAGATCTTTGTACACCACCTATAACCCAGAAATCATTAAACAAAGATTTATCAATCTCAACTATTATTCTAGGTCCACCCACAATTTCATCATCTGATATTAATGAATTAATAGCTAGATTTCTAAAATCTTAAATAAAATTACGAATACTAATTCTACTAATACCTATTATTTTATGAATTTGTTGAATTCTAAGTTTATAAATTCAAAAATAACTAATTAAAAGAATATTATTATATTTTAATCTATGTTGTGAAAAAAATGTATTTTTAAACACGGTAATCATTTTTTTACAATCTAAATTTCTATATCTAAAAACATTTTCTTTAAGATAAAGATATATTTCTCTATTACAAGAATGACATTTTTCAGGTTTTTTAATAATTTTTTTATTAATTAAAAACTTTATACATTCTTTTTCTTCAAAGAAAATTTTATATAATGTTTTTAAATTTTGGATATTCATTTTTATTTTTACTAATAGATAAGTTTACATTTATTTATATTGTAATTATTTATATTATATTATGTGATTTTTTTTTTAATCAAGATCATTATCTTTTTTATTTCTATTTTAAATCAGATCATATTTTTTTTAACAATAAACACAACAAACGTCCACTTTTTTTAAAAAAAACAAAACTTTTTTTTTTTTTTAACAAACAAACGAAACTTTTAAGAGTTAGTATTTTTTCTTTTTATTTTTATTAATTATATATGATTAGAATAATAGTGCTTGTTAAAAACATACTCCTTTAATCACTTTAATCATAAAAGTTATCAGTTTTCTTTCTTTATCAGCTATTAACTATCTATGATTATCTTGATTATCAATGTTATTTTTAACATTTTTTCTTTTGCCAGCTTTCATTTTTTTTATGTTTTTAACTATGATATATGTTATATATTTTGTTTTTTTTTTATTTTAAAATAAAAAACTAATATTATCTATGTTTTATAGATGTCTTTACAAGAAAGTATCGATGAAGTGATACCCATAGAGCATTGGGAGGTACCTATGTTTGTAACAGAGCCATCAGTATAAAAGTTAAGATTAGAGGTATTTTAATTATAAGTAGCTATTGATTGAAGGGTCTGAGTGGCTTCACTGGGTATGAAGCAGGTTGGTATTTGAGATTGTTTGATAATAAGTATGAAAAGTGGTAAAATAGGAGTAACATTTAAATTTAGAGTTGAGTATATAAGGTCCTGGTAGTTGGCATAGAAATTAATTGATTTGTTTATATTAAGTCTACCAAAAAACTTTGTTGCAAGATTTGTGTGAATAAAAATGGTATATTTATTAGCTAATAAGTTGGTATTAAGTGAACAATTGGTGCAAGGTGAAGAGAATATGGGAGCAAGTGGATATAGTTGTGTTGAGTAAATAAGATTGTGGCATTGCCAATGAGTAATGAGTATATGACCAGTTGTTGTACATTGGTATCAGGCTTTATCAACAACCAGTTGGTTGTTAAGTAAAGAGATTAGCCAGGGTTTAGTATATTGGTAGAAGTGGCCAGTACTATAGCTATAGTAGTTAGTAAGTAGAAGATTAAAGTATGAATGAATAGTTCTATGGGGAGAGCTAGAAATAGAGATGTTTTCTAGTGTAGTAAACCATTTGGGTATTCTACCTTTTGAAATTTTGTTTAGTCTTGGTGAAATGTGTTTCTATTCGAGCAGACAAAGATTGTTAGATGTAGTAAGCTGGTCAAGAAAAAGCAAATAATGGTGCCGAAGTTGTTTTTTAAAAGTAGATTATTGGGGGTAAGAAGCAAGAATTGATTTGAGTAAAGTTGAACCTTCCTGAATTGTAAAAGGAATAGAGGTGTTAGAGTTGGGGCTAATTGTCCAATTGATATATTTGAAAAGCTAGATGATTTTAAAATTAGTAATGTTTTATTAGGGCCTTCAATTATGAGAGAAGATATTTATGGAGAACTATAGATTGTTCTGTAGTTGTTGAATACAGATAAGTATAGAAGTGCCAAGAAGATGATTATTGTTAAGCCATTTGATGAAGTTGGAAATATGATGTTGCAATTGAATATCTCAGATATTTTTGATATTGTAAATTTGTGGATGAAGTAGAGTGCTAGTGGGTATAGTGCAGCTGAGTTTGGCTTTGTGCTTGACTAGACCAATATGACATATAAAGATTTTATTACAGGCTGTTTGGCTAAGAACAATATTCTGTAAACAGTATTTAATAGTAGGTATAATGACTATGTTGATAATATAGCAGGCTTGTATATTTGTAATTTTTTTAGAACTAATTGTTTGAATAAGTTGAGAAGACTCATTTGTAATTTGTTGTATTTGTTTAGATTGTTTGTTATCAAGTATAAACCAACACCCAAGGAATTTGAGTAGTTGGTTTGGTAGTTGTAATGAAAGTATTTGGTTGTTAAAAGTAATTGGATAGTGAGAATTGGAGATTGAGTTAGTAGTAAAAACTGATTTGTTTGGGTTTACTTGAATATTAGCCATGAAGTAGAAGAATTCTGCAATTGAAAATATTTTGATTAGTTCCATATATGATAATGCAACCCATAAGGTGTCATCCATATAGACAAGGACCAAACATCTGGTTTTAATTTGATTAATTGAAAAGTTTTTTAAGCTAGTGAACTATGAGCTTTGCATTTGATATCCAGGTATAGTAGAATATATATGGGAGATAAAAGGGTTATAGTAAATACGCTAAAGTAGTGGTGTGATTGTTTCTCCTTGGTCAATTCCATCTTGCACAAGGTAAAAGGGTGTAAGGCCAAGGTTGATAACAACATCATTATGGTGACCAATGAACAGGTTAAAGATTGTGTTAATAATTGAAGCAGGAAGTGCAAGACATGAAAAAGCATGATGCAGAAGAGTGGAGTTGACAGAGTCATAGACCTTGCTCATGTTCTGAGACAAGAGCCAAATTTCTTTATAATTACAGCTTGCATCTTCAATGAGGTTGTTGAGAATATGCATGGGAATAGAAGTACTGTTGTCTGAGAAAGCAACGTAGTTGTAAGGAAAGAGAATAGAGTGTTAAGAAATGCAGTTATACAATTATAGCTAAGGTGTTTAAATATTTTATAGCTTATGCTAGTAGGGCTGCAAGCTTTGTTGTTATGAAGTTTGGCAATAGTTTGGAGAACCTCTTCGATTGTAATAGGTGTAGTAAGCAAGTTGTACCAGTCTAGTTAATATGAGATAAAGGATAGTAATATTGTTGCCAAATATTATTGAAAAGAAGATGATTAATAGGCTTGTGTGCAGTCCAATCATTGAAGTGTTGTTGTATATGTTGTTTGATGTCAGTAGAGTTTGTAACAAGTTGGTTTGGAAGCTTTATATTAGAGAAATGAATAGGAGCCTTGTAATAATCAAGTATACTGTTGATTGCATAAATGGGCCTAGAAACAAGAGTTTCACATCTCTTCTCTGAGGCTTGGTTGATTTGTTGTCTGAGATGGAGTGAATATTCTAAATAGTAGGCATGGTATACCTGTTTTCAAACAGTATAGGCTTCTTCAAGCCATACTTGAATATAAGCAGAATCCCATGTTGAAGGTGACTGAAGATTGCACTTTGTATATGAATTAATAATAGAATATCTAAATGAATGTATTGCAGATGTATATCTGACTAGTTAGTATTAGAGCAAATTGTTTTGATGAGGTGGCTGAGTTTTTTAAGTCCTGTATAGAGTGCAGTACAGTGTGGGCTATACTTATAATTATAGCTATGTTTGCGTATGACTTTGTTAGAAACCTTTTTAATTGCAGCCTGTATAATATAGTGCTAGATCTTGTACCAGATGCTATCAATGCTAATGGTAGAGTCAGTGGAGGTAGGAATACGATGTCATTGAAAAAGTTCAGTGGCAAAGTTAGAGAACTCTAGCCAGTGATTAGGAGATGTTGATTTATAGTTAAAAATTTGGCAACAGATATTGGTATGTAAATGAGATGGTTTGCTATATGCATTTGGAAAAGTTCAGGTAGTAGAATGTAGTACTCGTACCCTAAGGTATCATAACCAGTTAACTGTTAGGTTATCCGGATAACCTGACTATAAAATTTACTATGAGTTACACAATTAGGATATCCGGTTAATTTAAGAGATAACCTAGGATAATATAAGGTAAAGTATAGTCACAACAACAATATTGATATGTTGTATATCAAATTAATAACTGTATACAAGTTCATTTCATAGACAAATAGTATTTGCTGATAGCTTATTTTACAAATAAATTATTTTTCAAATTGCGCTAACCTTAGCGACATTGACTAAAAAATAATTTGTCTATAAAATGTACTGTTTATGAATGAACTTGTCTGCAAATTAATCGACTGTTTTATACTAATATAAATAATCGGTCTTCCACGTAGGTTGCAGATTTACAGTTTTTTTAGCATTTTTATTTAATCCTATAATTGATTAGCCAATAATCTACGTAGATAAACTAATTACATGATATCCTGATATAATCTAGAGTATAATCATTATCCTTTTATTTCAATAGGATATAAAACTGGTTATTGGATTTTATTAAAGGGTATAGCCTTTCGGATAAAGAGTTATCTGGGTATGACCACTAGTAGAGAGCATGAGGTGGTCATTAAGTATACTTGTTTTACTATTATTTAGATTGTAAGCAAGGAAAAATTGAATGTTGAATGAGTTAGTCCAAATATAGTTAATTCTGCTATACTGGTCGAAATTTTTTAATATAATAGGCTGATACAAAAGTGATTTATATAAAAACAAATAATTATGAAGAAGCATATATCTATTTATCTAATGAAACCTGTCTACTTCCAAATCACTTCGTTCCTCTGTTTCAAGACTTACTATGCTAGTTCAGATATACTCTTCTCAAATCTTATACACAAACTACAAATAATAACTCTTTCATACCAACTCCTATTGATGACTCTCTCTTTATTAACTCATCTGCATCTTTACAAATATCTGCTCCTATCTTATACAATACTAACCTCTACATCCCACCAAGTCTTATCAAACCCCTCCACACCCTCCCCCAAACTTGTCCTTCATCATCTATTAATTCATCAACTCCACTAGCTAACAATCATGACTTGCATCTTACTAATAGCTACACATAATATTTGGGGCTTCAACACTCTTTCCAAAAGACAAATTTGGCAAGATTATTGTATCTACCACAATATCACAATAGCCAGTATTATTGAAACAAAAATTTCACATAAAACAAAACTATCCTTTTGTAACAACAATCTTTATACTTACTACTGGGCAAACTTTGACAACTCTGCTAAAGGGTTTGCTATTATGATATGCAGTTTTCTTAAACCTCATGTATATAGTTGTCAAACACACCCTGGTGGTGCAATCGCACTTGATCTTTTCTTTAAAAACCCTATTAAGCTCTGAATTATATCCATGTATCTCTCTTCTACTGACTCCTCTCAAAGAAATGCC